TTCAGCTGCTTTCTGGATAGCCTGTTGCACTTGAGTTGCTGGGGTAAGCCAGCTGCCTCTCTTTGCCTGCACTCACTGCCCTTCCTGGGGTGACTGTGAGGAGCTCTGCAGAGATGTGTATTTTGGTGGCAGCACTGTGCTGTGGTGCAGGTTATTCTTCTCAGATTTGTCTTATAGATTGTAAAGGAAGAAATTACATTATAGGTTTCTTTCTCGTTTGTTTTCAGTGTACACTGAAATTCTGATGTAATGACCTAACAGTAGGGCCTGGGGGTGTGGGCTTGCACCCATGAGACTTTTGTGTGAATCTACCCCTGGATAAGAGCTCAGATTTTTAGAGCTAAAACACAGCCACCAAAGTTTAGAAGCTGTGTCATAAAGAGCTGGTCTGTGTCAAGGTGGGCAGGTCTGGCAGATCTGTTCTGCTTCCAGGTTTAATGATTGATATGATACTCTGTCCTTAAGATCAGTTACCAAAAGTTGTCTCAGTTTTGTGGTTTAGAAGTTCAGGGCTGCTTAAAAAAGGTCGCAGGTCTTGTTTTAGCTGCTTTGCAGTTCCTCCCTCTGATTTCAGGTGTTAGTTTGACTTCTTGTGAGCATTATCCTTTTAAAATGTTTTCCGAACAGTGAGCAGAGTTGCTCCTGTTGCCAGGGTTAAGTAATGCTTTAAGGGAAATAGGTGGGTTTTTTTGGTTGTTTTTTTTTTTTTTTCACTTGATTGTTTTGACCACTTGTACTTGAAGACTGATTTGTTTCAGATGTTTGCAATTTTGTGCTGGCATGTATTTGCATGTGCTGTTACAAATCTTGTAGCTTATTTTTTCCATTTGTTGAAAAGTGTGTTAAATTTATATCCTCTTTGTTGTGCTGGTTTTGTATCAGAAGACATTGTCATGTGCTGGTTGTTAGACAAGTCTAATGACTCATGAATTTATTTATATGATGGTGTCTTTCTTGATTACAGAAAATGTATTTTAGTTATTAAAAATGCTCTGTTAAAATCAGGTTAAGCAAAGAGTAAGATCTCAAAACAACAAAAGTACCAGCATAAGGCAAAATGACAGTCTGGGACTAGCAAATGAAGGCTCTCTGATGAATACTGTGCTGAGTAGTCTTGATTTTTGTTTGGGGCTATTGTGTTGTCGTGGCACAGCTCTGGCTTTGTGCACTGCTTCCATGGACGTTAGCAAGCCTTAAAGGGTTCAGAAAGAGTTTTAAAAGGAGGAAACTAGTAAAAATGTCTGATTCTCTTAATGTGTTTGTTTTGCCTGGAGGCTGATTTAAAGTTGTGTGAGTACCGGTCATTGGAAACTCTGTTCTATTTTATGGATTTTGTTTCTAAGCTTTTAATATGTTACTGTTTTAATAATGTTGTTTCCAAGAAATTCACAGGCAGGCATTCCATTTTAGCAGTTTTTGTTTCTGGTCTCTTCCTAAACTGTTCTACTTTTATTATGGCTTGGATCTAGGAAACTTATGCTGGGTATAATAAATTTCCAAGTATGGGTGACAGGGAGGCTTCAGAGCTAAATGCTTTCCATAGCAGCATCATGTGTGTTTTTGTGTCCTCCTTAGAGAGGACTTTAGCTGTAAAGTTATCTGGTTTTTCTGCTAGACCTTCATTTCACCTCAGCTTGAGTGGTGTGCCTGCATGGGGAGCTGGATGACAACTGCTAACAGAAGTGTAGTTAAAACTATAAAAGAAGGCTAACCAGGATTCTAACCTATGATGGAGTAAAAACTATTTGTTATAGAAGAGAATCTCCTTCTAAGAGCTATAACAAAAGTGCAAATGAATCTGATACTGGAAATGGCAAAACAGAGAAGGGGGCTGGAGAGATATGCCTCTTGTATTAGGTTAGACATACAAAGTTTTCATTCTTAATTGACATTTTTGTGGGATTTAAGGAAGGTTTCATATTTACCCTCTGCTGTTCATGCCAGAGATGCAGAGCTTTTGGGAGCGGACGCAGCTATGGACACATGAAGTCCTATGCTTGTGCAGTAGAAGGTGATAACATACAAATTTCTTTTGAGTTGAGAAGCAGAGTGGAGAAGCAGGACTAGAGCCCAATGGGGATTAGTATTCTGACACTTGTTACACCTGCTCTGACTTTAAATGTCTTGAAGGAACTTGCTCGAGGGAAGCAGATTTGACTGGTGACATGGGGATTGTTGTGGATGGTGCTGTGAGAGTTTCATCCCTGTGCTCAGCAGTGGTTAGAGATGACAAGTGCACAAGAGCAAGGAACACCCAATTCAGATTCAACAAAAGGAAGGGTTTGGGGTGGGTTTGGTGTTGTTTTTTTTTTTTTTTTTCCCCTCCCCAAATTGTAACAGGATGTTGCAGGATCCAAAACTGACTGGGTTCACAAAGCGGTTCAACAATCTCCTAGAGGGTGGGTCTAGTGGTTTTCTACCAAACATGAGCATCTAGATGTGACCACTGCTTGCCAAGTCCTTTGACATCTGACTACTGAGAGCTGCTAAGACATGTCTAGAAACCTGTACTCCTCTCATGTCCAAGCTCTCTCAGTCCTTACTCAGTCCTCTGCGACACTGTTGGAATTGCTGGACTTTGGTGTATTCTTGTGCTCCTGGGTGACTTCTGAATCACTCCTGAGTTCTGTCTTGCAAGGAAGTCTGAAAGAGCCAAGAGCCTTAGAAGTGGGTAACAGCTCAGTGCTCTGGGGCTCTGGTCTGATACTTGGTGTGACCTTTCTGCTGGAGCGATCTGGATTGTTGATCTGGAACCAGTTTTTCTTCTGCCAGGCTCAGCAGCCCAGCTTTTCTTCCCACAAGGAGTTGCCCTGGTATCAGCAGCTGGTAAAGCACATTGAATGTGAAAGAAGGCTGGTGGTGTGGACATCTGCATTAGCTGAGCTCCTGTTTCTTACTGGTGGGAATGCATTGCAGGGCTACCCTTATCCCTGTGGTGTCCTTTGTGTCTTCTGACATTACTGGCTCAGCTTGCTTTCCACAAACTCTCAAACCAATACCAGAATTATAACCAGTGCTGCCTAAAAGACCTCAGTTATTAGTTGTGCTGCCAATACTTAAGCAGCTGTACAAAGACTGAGATTTCTTTGTGCTGTCCAGGGAGTGTGTAACCACTGACTCTGGCAGAAAGAGGGTCTGTCACCCTTAAGGTAAGAAGTTTGGGAGGCAAGGGTTAAGAATGAAACAATCTGGAGAAGAAATTACCATATCCCTTTTTGCTTATGTACCCATAATTTTATTGTATTATCAAATCTGTGAATGTTTGTAGGAGCTATCCCAGGAACCAAGAACTTCTTCATCCACAGAGACATCTCTAGGGACATTACGTGAAACTGCATCTATCATCTAAACTACTTTCCTGATGACAAGTGAATAATCACAGCTGCCCCAAAAGCAAACCTCTCCTTGTGCACCTGTAACTTGAGTGTATCTTGATGGTCTCCCACAGACACCAGGAAAGATTCTGTAGCATTTTGATTTCTCTGTTTCCTTCCACACTGCCTTGAATGTCTTGAGTCCCTGAGAAGCTGCCAGAGTCCAGTTATTCTTTCTGAACACTATTCCCAACCACAGTCTGGCATACTGGTTATTTTTTGGCATACTGGCTGTTTTGTCTTTTCTTTCAAAGCCTAAATGCTGCTGATAGATTTGACCAGAGCAAATGGGGCTGGCTGAGCCTTAAACTAATTTGCTGATCTAAGAATAAACTTGTTCAAAGAAACCATTTATTACCTCGTGGCCTCTGTGGATCGTGAGTCATGAGACCTTCCAGCTGTACTTGTTGGGGGGAAAGAGCCAAGGAGCTTCCAGAAGTTGAGAGGCAGACAAGAGGGGATGGAAGCCCTTCTCCTTTCAGCTGAGGGGGATTCTTTGAGGAGGGAATCATGACAGAGGGGGTGAATTTAATCCTTCTCAAAAAGTGCCTCTGTCATTCTTCACTGTCATATACCATGTGGATAAAACCTGTCAGAAGAAAAACGAGTGATAACCATTGTCAAAAGCACAAAACCTTTGAAAGCCAAGGCTGTATTCTGCAACAGAACCAAGGCAGGCTCTCGTACTGAGCCCTAACCTGTTCCATTGCTTGGTTGCTCTACTATCTGAACAGAAAATGCCCAATTCTCTAACCTAAATAGCATGATGCTTGTCACTTAGTCTTTGTGAAGCCAAAGAGAAGTTACTTGCCAAAGGCTGTCTACTCGCTTCTGGTTTGGGATTTGTGTTTTGTTGGTTGGCTGAGTTGGTTTTTAGTTGATTTTTTTGGGGTTGGTTGGATTGGTTGGGGTTGTTTTGTTTTGATTTTTTTAATGAAGGCACAATACAGTAAGTTGTGAAATGAATCATGGAGTAGCTGTGGCACTTCTGTAAAAGCTAGTTTGACCTCCTTCAACCACCTGACTCCAGTGCACAACTTTCCTTTCTTCTCTGCCCCTCCTTCCAGCTGAAGGGTCTGTTGGCTGGAGAGCAGTGGAGGCAGGATGGGCTGTGTCTGGGAGCCCCTGGCTGTGGATAGATGCAGCAGAGCCACACAGGAGGAGCTTTTTCTCTCTAAGCAGGTAGATAAGGCAAATTAAGGTGACAACAGCACTCCTCTGTTTTACACCTGAATTTGGATGCTTCTCAGGTGACCAGTGCTACTGAGAGAGTCTGCCATGCTCCAAGTAGTAGTTCTGGCCGATTTGGAAGTAGGATTTTGGTCCCTTCTGAAAGGACTGCCTCAGAGAATGTGGTGAGGTACCAGAGGTTTCACTAGACAAGTAATCACAGTGAGGTATCACTTCCAAACCAGCTACGTGATAGAACAGCCTGAATCCCAGTGATGTGTATGTGTTTACAAAGCTGCTTGCTGATATTTTGCCTCGGACTTCCTGTGATGAAACCTGAACAGGAAGTTACCACTCTCATTAATCATATGAATCCTGAAACCCGCTGTGTTTTCAGTGTTCTCTACTCCAGTTGCATAGTTATAATATTCCTCTCTTTTTTTTTTTTTTTTTAAGGTAAGGAATGAAGAAGACTTTATTAAGAAACTGGACTGCAGTCCTGACCAGCATCTAAAGGTAGTGTCCATCTTTGGGAACACGGGGGATGGCAAGTCTCACACCCTTAACCACACTTTCTTCTATGGCCGGGAAGTCTTCAAGACGTCTCCAGCCCAAGAGTCTTGTACAGTTGGAGTCTGGGCAGCCTATGATCCTGTCCGCAGAGTGGTGGTCATTGATACAGAGGGCCTCCTGGGGGCCACTGTGAACCTGAGCCAGAGAACACGGCTGCTGCTGAAGGTCCTGGCCATCTCTGACCTTGTCATCTACCGTACTCGTGCTGACAGGCTCCACAATGATCTCTTCAAATTCCTTGGTGATGCCTCGGAGGCTTATTTAAAACATTTCACCAAGGAGCTAAAAGCTACCACAGCCCGCTGTGGCCTAGATGTTCCTCTGTCAACTTTGGGTCCGGGTGTCATCATCTTTCACGAGACTGTGTACACCAAGCTACTGGGCTCTGGTGAGTAGGCAGCAAGAAACTGAACTGCAATGTGCTAAACCCTATCTATAAATTACCAGCTTGCACTCAGTATTAGGCGTTCTGTACTTCCATGTAGAAGGTAGGGCTTGGGTTTTGCTCTCACTTGTTCCAGCCAGGCTATGGAAATAGCAGAGCATTCCCTGATGGCCATCTGACTATCCCAGATCAGCCAGAATAATCCTCTTAGCCAGCTGGACATTGGCACTGACTAGGCATGATGAGAGTTCTGCCAGCCACAAGAGGGGTCATTGTACAAGATCATGAGTATGGGTGATATGGCAGATGAGGGTGAAAACTCAGAGAGCCTGGGGTTTTGGCAAGGATACGGAGTATCCTGTTGCCAAAAAAACTAAAATAATGCTCTGTGGAGAAACCAGGATGAGCAAGGATAATGAAATCGATGAACGTCAATACTTACAGTGCCCTCACACTACTGCTGCGTTCTCTGGACCAACGTTGCTCTGGGGCCGGTGTGAGGTTGGGACTGAAGTTGTGGTGGCACAGAGCTGATGGTTTGACACAGCTTTTCTCTGTGAAAGTATCTGATATGGTGAAAGCAGCAGGTCTGGCACACCATTATTCTCATCATCTTCAGTGTTCTTCGTCAGTACTTTTAATTTGTCTCATGTCATACTGGAATACACATACTTAAATTCTGTATTTTGTTTGTATGTGTGAGTGGGATGTGCTGTCCTGTGGGAGTCACAGCACGTTTTGGTTTTGACTGTAATAGGGATCTAAATTTCTTCTCTTGGCCTCATTTTTTCCATGCTTCAAAAGGCATGATGAAACCTTTCTTCATCCTGTCCATTTCTGATGCTTTGATGAGCAGGAGCCCTAATGAACTGGCCTGCAGCGGCTGAGGCTCTGTCCTGCTGTCTGTGAACATCTGGGAGTCTTCTGCTGTGTAATACCCCAGCAGCTCCCTGCTGGCCCACATTCTCATTTTGGCTTTTCTAACCAGTGAGGTCTTGAGCTAGTAGAAGAACTTGGCATTCTTTCTGGCTATTATTAGAGCGACTTCTAAATTATTTTTAACCTGCCAAGGCAGTTCCTTTCCTTACATACAATTTGCTGATTGCAATGCAGAGTTTCACACAGTTGTTGGAATCTGCTTTTTCTGCAGGTTGGATTCAGTGACCCATAAGGGTAGTTGTGTGCAAAGTCAGGGCAGTAAAAAACATTCTATTTTTATGATCACTTCTGATCATGGTAGGAATAGGAAGGAAACCTCTTAGCATGTGGATTTGCAGCAAGCTGTAACCATCTGTCTCGATGAATAATTGAGATAAACACATGTGCAGTTTTAGGGCAGGGAAGAAGGGTCCTGCCTTGTTCTGAAACATACAGCAGGGATTTAGAAGTGGGCAGAAGAATGTGGTTGGCTCTATGGAGTCTGACCTGATGTGGCCAGTTCTGGAGTGCTTCACCATTTACAGAGGGTTTGGTGTTTCTTAGGAGGTGGGCATGGAGAATAAGCATGTAAGGTTTGTGTCCTCCTCTTACCAGGTGCAAGAACTAGCTATACCAAGTTATGGTCTGGTGAGAAGAGCTAACAAGTGTGCTGACATGGAGTGTCCTTGTGTTATGTCACAGATTGCTTCTTATTATGCATATCTGTCTTTCTAAACCTTGATGTTTCTCATTTTACCTGTGGAACTTTGTCTTAGAATTTAAAGCTGTGTATGAAAAAACAGAAACTGCTTTTGAAAAGAGTTTGTTTCTTGTCCTTCTTGTAAAATATCATGAAAACTGCATTCCAGATGTATTAGAAGGTTTAATTAGGAGAGCGAGCACTGTGTTGCATGTGGAAGCACTGTGCAGTTTAAGTATTATTTTAAACAATCAGTTGTTTATATACTTGCTGATGCTCTTATATATAGATCATCCTTCTGAGGTTCCTGAGAAGCTCATTCAGGATCGGTTTCGGAAGCTAAGCTGTTTTCCTGAGGCTTTCAGCTCAATCCACTACAAGGGAACAAGGACGTACAATCCCCCAACGGATTTCTCTGGACTTAGGCGAGCTGTGGAGCAGCAGCTGGAGAACAATACCACACGTTCACCTAGGCAGCCTGGGGTTATCTACAAGGCACTAAAAGTAAGTGGAGAAGAGTCCATCAGAATCCCTGGTTGTATCACTGTTGCTAGCAACTGTCAGTCACAGCTACTAAAGGTAGATGCAGACTTGCACATGCCTGGAGATAAATCTTCCATGGAGATGATGATTTCTGTGTAACAGTCAGGTAGGATGGGTATATTTTTTTTTAGTTTAAGGCAAACAACCACCTTAGCAAAGACCCTGAAAGGTCAAGAAACGCTGAAGAGCAAAACAGAGAAAATCAAACTGAGCTGTGAAGAGACTGAGTGGGTAACAAAAAAATAACTTCTGTTGTGAGTGACAAGCACTTAATGGGAGTGATTTACAAAGAAGGGGCCCAGGAGTTACTGGTGAAATTCCCAAGGATGGCCTCAGCACAAGGGGAGGGAATGCAAGAGACTTGGAGGGAGTTAACGGTTGGCAAAGCCTAGCACTGAGTGTAGTGTAACCCAAGGGCTAGGAGGCCAAAGGGATGAAGGAGATGTGTTGGTAGCTAGGAAGCAAGATGGGATCGAGCCAAAAGATGTATCATTTCAGAGGGGCAGCATCAGCCCAGAAGGCTGAAGGAAAGGAATTGGAGAGAGCATCTGGTGATTTCCTTACAGGTTTGCCATGCCAGGATGTCAGAGGGATTTTCAGGTCTTCAAATTTGCAGTCTGTCCTACAAGTTTCCATACATTGGTACCATGACCTGATTAGCATTGTATTTTCATTGGCCTGAAGAGCACGGGAGGGGTGGGCAGAGCTGGGGTGTATCTGCAGCAGAAGGCAGGGTTACCAGTCTTCTCTGGGGTTGGTCACAGCTGTTGGAACAGATAATCCCAGTCACTCTGCATTTGGGGTAGCTGAAGAGACATATCAGGGTGGCATGTACCTGGTTCCTTACATTAGGGAGCAGATGTGTGGCAAGGGGTGAACAACTGGAGTGGTTTATTCCAGTTTAATTTCTAGCACTTTATTGAAATAATCAAGTAATCCAGTTTCAGATCCAGCTGTTAGTATACTTAAATTCAGTAAAGTGGTTGCTGTGTTCAGATCAGTACTGACTACAAATTAACTTTTTTTTATTCACATCCTGAGGAGATAGGGCTTGCTTGAGATCTGTGTCCACCTCTAACTTTTGAATCTATTGGCCAATATTAGTCAGGCTTGAAAGAGATGTAAAAGGTAATTTCCTTGAAATTGTGTGAAATTGGATATCTGCATAGAAATCTTACCTGAGAGACACTGTGGTGGGAGATATGAATCTATGTATGTCTGTGTGTAAGTGCAGTCAACCCTTGTTAGACAGCAGAGATGCTCACCCTGACACACTCTGTGGGAGGGGAGAGGGAGGAAGAGGAAGGCAGGCAGCCACTGTAGTAACCTCAGCTCGGTGGGAAGAGTTTCGGTTACACCATATGCCTTCTGAGATCTCTGTCAAGAAAAACCCTAACCATCTGCCTTGTTCCAATGCTTCTTTATTTCTTTTTTTCAACATAACACCCAAAAGAAGTAAAAAAGTTAAGTGTGTCAAGGCTAAGGACCAAATCAGTCTGAGAACAGTTGCTTCCAAGAAAGGGAACAAATCCCTTTGTCTCAGTCTTGCAGTTTCACCAGAGATCAGTTGTTCAAGGGGCCAGAGGGAAGCTCAGGACAGTGCTTCCTGAGCTAAGGCACAAAGAATGTGCCCTCTTGTACTGTGAGAAATGACTCCCTGAGTTTCCTTCTGGAGGTTTCCAGAATGCAAAGCCCTTTTAGCAAGCACCATGCTATCTGGGGCATGGGGTTGTATGCACAGAGGTGGATGCAATCTTCTATCACCTATTTCTACTGTGAAATTCAAAGCAGGGGCAGCAGGAGAGGATAAGAGTAAATACCTTGCAAGCATTAAGGTCACATCCATACAAGTGCAAGATTGTCTTCTTGCTTGGTTTCCAGGTTAGCTGTGTGGTCTCCTTGTGCCCTCCCTCCTCCCTTCAGTAGAGGAACCCATACTTTTGCTTGCAGACACTGTCATAGAATGTCTGCATTGCTCTGTCTCTTACCAGTTGATTCTTTTCTGTTTGACAGGCTCTAAGTGACCGGTTCAGTGGGGAGATCCCTGATGACCAGATGGCTCACAGCTCTTTCTTTCCAGATGAATATTTCACATGCTCCTCTGTGTGCCTCAGCTGTGGGTAGGTAGATGAGAAATGCACCATCATGCTTCTAGAAGACAGCGCTGCCCTGGTCTGCAGCCACAGAACTTAGGCTCTATGGTTCTGTGACATCTTGACACCTGACAACATCATTATGTGAATTGGGTGGCTGTTATTGCCACATCCCAGCTGGGTGCATGGTCTTTGCCTGCTCTGGCTATGGCTATGAACATGTTCTGCCCTCATCTGTTCCACAGTGCACACAGGGCAGGAAGAAAGGAGCATGTAAAGAAATCCTCTGTAATCTCCTCTGATGATTTTTCCTGCCATTTATATTACCTAAGATAAATATAAATATAATATAAATGATCCTAAAGCACACATCGTGGGCCTGGGCTGTGTTCACTGGCTAGATCTAAGTGGAGCCCCAGGTTGGATTAGAGCTTGGCCCATAGCTCTGTGGGAAGAGCCCAGAGATTGAGGCTGGAAGAGCAGAAGGTGGCAGTCAGTGCTCTGAGCCTGTGAGGTACTATAGCAGTGTGATGTTAGGATTGATTATGCTTCTGGGAACGTTCTGTCTCAAATGTGATATAGTGCTATGTTCCTGCTCTGAGACTCATGAAAGAATTTCTAGCAGTTCCTTGCAAAGGCTGCAGTGTTAACTGTCCTGGTCCATTCCCAAACTCGGTTAGTCCTTCCTAAAATTCTCTGTGGAATTTTAAATTTGCTACAGTGATCATTTCCTGCTCAGAACTGTTGTGTGGTGCTCCTTTGTGCTGTGAAACAGTTGCTACACCTCCTCCCAAAGGGCCTGCCTTTTGATGATAAATGATGTCATTGCTCTGTCTACAGCTGTGAAAATGGTTTTGGGTCACACCTATACAAATGCGAGATAGTAACATAAATGAGCTTTTGATGACATCTGTCCTGTATCTAACAGTGATCAGCTCATGGTTTGCTTTTGCATGCTCAGGTGTGGCTGTAAGAAGAGCATGAACCATGCAAAGGAAGGAGTCCCTCATGAATCCAAAAGCCGATGCAGATATTCTCACCAATATGATAACAGAGTCTACACTTGCAAGGTAGGTAGCAACACAAGGACAATCTCTGAAGAAGGAAGGATGGCCCAATAAATGAGGAATATCACAGGCATGTGCCTTTTTTCTTCCATCTTCCAAATGGGAGAGGTGCTTATGCCTTGACAAGAAAAATCAGCCTCCATTGAACTTGTATTTTTGCTTGGAGAGGCCATCACCTCTCCATGCTCTGTGTCACTTGCTAGCTAAATTGTGAACCCAGCTACTCTCAACCTGGGTGGTGTTGACCTACATACTTCATGTGGGTACTCTTGTATTTCCCTATGGTCATTGCTTGGTATTAGCTGTTTTTGTCTGAAGGATGTGTGCAGGAGACAGGAAAAATCTCAGTCGCCATCATGGTTTTTATTGTTGTAGAAATATTTCCCTGATGTCATCATTGACAGTGGCTTTGGTTTGGTTTTTCAATCAGTTCTGATGAGTGCTTTCCTTTGCTGTGGCAACCACTACATGCCAATTACATGCTTTATGTGGCCAAGTAGCTGCAAGATCTGGAGTGTGGGATTCCCCAGATGCAGTTTTAATCGAGCCTTTGTGTCGCAGGCCTGTTACGAACGAGGGATGGAGGTCAGTGTGGTGCCAAAAACCTCTGCTTCCACTGACTCCCCTTGGCTGGGCCTTGCCAAGTATGCCTGGTCAGGGTGAGTACCACGGCTGTGCCCTCTCTGCTCTGGGTGCCTCCACGCCGCCCAGCGCGGCGGAGTGCCAGCACCTCCCCGAGGTAACTCCTCTTCCTCTTCTGCAGGTACGTGATTGAGTGCCCCAACTGTGGGGTGGTGTACCGCAGCAGGCAGTACTGGTTTGGCAACCAAGACCCTGTCAACACTGTCGTGAGGACAGAGATCGAGCACGTCTGGCCAGGGGTGAGTGGCTGCTGGGTGGTCACTGCACGTGCGCAGCCACGCGCACGCCGCTTCTCCCGGGCGGTGGTGGAGAACGTGGGCTGGCTTCTCACACAGCTCACCCCTGTCTCTACTGTTTGAAACAACCTCTGGAAGGGCCTTCAGTCAACTTTTGGCTGTCTTGGACTGGTTAAGTTGTCAGTTTATGAATGCTTCATGTGAATGATACAGCATTAAAACCTTCCTCTGTGTTTCAGAGCGGGGCTGGTGAATATTTTCTCTTGTTTGCTTTCCAGCTTAAAAAGAACAGTGGGTTGCAGAGCCACTTGCATCTAGAAAATGGATTTCCCCAGTTTTATTCTCGATTAATTTATTCTCTCATCCATTTCATTCCAGACTGATGGATTCCTGAAAGACAACAACAATGCAGCTCAGCGTTTGTTGGATGGGATGAATTTCATGGCACAATCAGTATCTGAACTTAGCCTGGGACCCACAAAAGCTGTGACCTCCTGGTTGACAGACCAGATTGCCCCAGCTTACTGGAGACCCAACTCTCAGATCCTGGTAAGTAGCAGCTGCTGTAGAGAAAAGCTTTACATAGCTAAAACTCCTTTTCCTCATCCCTTAAATAATGTAGTATTTTGCAGTTTCCAGATGCTTCTTGGTTTATTGCAGCAAGCCCTTCTCCTACAATTCTGAGTAAACTGAAATGCTTTCAGCTCTTCCCTTTCTTGACTTAGCCAGAGAAAATATGAACAGAGACTCTGCCCAGCCCTGCTAAGGACTGTTTCTCCCTCCTCTTTGTGAGCAGCTCTCTCAGCAGTACCACAGAAAATTCTGTCTTGCATGAACTTGCTTTTCAAGCCAAAGAATCATCATCTTAAATCCAGCTATTGCAGTTGATAGTACTATTTTTATAAGTACAGAGATCAAACTCTGGTTTCATACTGGATGCAAAAAGCTGGCCCCAACAGTTCAACTAGGAAAGGATTCCCTGTGTCTTGCAGGAAATGGATAACTCCTTCAATGAAAACTGCCTTCTGAATCCTTACCCCCCAGAGACCATAGACCCAATGTTCAGCCCTGCGTGACGTGGCTGCAGCTATTGGTGGCTGTGAATGAAGGCAGCAGAACTATCTGTTGGCTTAACCACTGTCCCTCTGTCTGAATCACTTCCCTAGGGGCAGCACCCAAGTCTTGGGTGCAACTATATTTTTCACAATTCCAGTTTGAGTTTTGCCATCCTGGGATTCTACTCTCTATTTTTCTGTTAAGGAAGATCCAGCTAACAGTTTTTCTCTCTGTGTTGTTCTGATTAGAGTTGTAATAAGTGCAACACACCTTTTAAAGACAACGACACTAAACACCACTGCCGGGCCTGTGGAGAGGGCTTCTGTGATGGCTGTTCCTCCAAGACCCGCCCGGTGCCTGAGCGAGGCTGGGGACCAGCACCAGTGCGAGTGTGTGACAACTGCTACGACAACAGGGGCATCCAGCTAGGTAACTCTGAGTTGCCTGTGACAGAACTACCCCTGGGCAAGAGTCAAGTCTGAAGTCTTTGTCCCTGGCTTCTGGGTCACAGCTGTTCCCACTGGGTGTAGACAGAGCTGTTCAGACTGGGCTTTGGCTCAGGGTTGTTAGCAGGGAAGCTCAAGAGCTCAGTGTCTTTTGGCAGGACGATGACTCTTGCAACGAGCTACCAGATATCTGACCCTCTGACAAAATTATTTTCTAATTGGATCTTTACTTGTTTTTTCAGCATTTGCTGATGGGGTGGTGCTAGCATCAGAGCAGGGATGCTGCTGTTTCAGCAGACTGAGTATATTTTGTCCATTATTGCTGAAATGAAAGTGAAAACTCGGCAATCCAAGATGGGGCATGTGGGAGATAAAGGCTGAGGAGAGGCTTCAGGTTGCCCTTTGGGTTTGCTGCTGGTTTTTGCTAATGTAAATTGTCTGAAACTTGGCAGAAATTGTGCTGGACTTGGGTGCTGAGCCCTTTACTCGTGTGTCATGCAGATGTAGCTGAACTGCCTTCAGATGAGGAAGGGGGGACACTTATTGCCAGGAAGGTGGGGGAAGCTGTGCAGAACACTCTTGGAGCAGTGGTGACAGCCATGGACATTCCCTTAGGTAAGCTCTGTTCTGATGGAATTTTTTTTTGTCTGGAGGCACTTTGTTTTCACATAGCAAAACATCTGATTAAACTTCAAGGGTTCATGTGACTGTGTGACCTCTGCTGTGATACCACTGTTGGTTGAGAGTTCTACAGCCCCTTGTAGCCCTTTTGCTTGATGGTTCCTGTTTTTTAGTACATTGTTCCTGCAGTTCATACCTCCTCTTTTCTCCCTGTTGTGCAAATCTCTGTGCATCAAGCTGTGAGTTATCCAGGCTCCCTGGGTGCATCACTGCAGTGACCTGCCAACTGGAGTTGCCTAATGAATGGCCAATTAGGAAGCATTTTATTAGGTTTGGTTTTCTTCCAGAGATGCTGAGTGCCTTTTAAGTGTCTGCTTAAAAGGATAACTTTTGGATGCTGCTGGCACTTGGTACTTCTGGAGGGGAGGGCTGAGAATCTGAAGCTCTCCAGGTTGGTAATGATGGGCAAGTGATCGGCGATGTAATATTTAGTCATGAGCTCAGTAGAGTGAATGTTTGCTGCTCTTTCGTGTGCTGGGTAGAAGTTCAGGTGGATCAGCAAGTGACTTCACATTTCAATCTTCTGTTGTTGGACCTGACTTCCTTACTCATTGTGCGGATCATCCTTCCACTGCTTTGCCCACAGCGTGTCCTCCCAGCATCCCTGTGGGTGTTTGTTGTCCCACTCAGTGAAAGGTAGAATAAATCCCTTTCTTAGGTCAGACAGTACATGGGTTTCTCAATGTTGGGTTTCGTGACTGTGGCGTTTTGGCCACAGCTGAAACTGAAGGTAGGGAAAAGCAAGTGTCTCAACCTCTGGAAGAGTCAGAGTAAGGGAAGATGCCACCATTTAATGAGGAACAATCTATTTCTTTGAAGAGAGGCAGCACGTGGGAGAATGGCAGAACGGCCTGTTGCACAGAGCTACCCTGTCAGTAGGTTGCCTTCCCCTTAACGGCAGCGTGTGAGGACTTCCCCTGACGTGCTCGTGTTCACGGATTTCCTTCTCCCCGTTTCTCCTCCCGCAGGCCTGGTGAAGGACGCTGCCCGCCCTGCGTACTGGGTGCCAGACCACGAGATCCTGCAACCCTCCCCTGCCACAACTGCCGGAAGGAGTTCAGCATCAAGCTCTCCAAGCACCACTGCCGGGCCTGCGGCCAGGGCTTCTGTGACGAGTGCTCGCACGGCCGCAGAGCCGTCCCCTCCCGGGGATGGGATCACCCCGTCCGAGTCTGCTTTAACTGCAATAAAAAGCCCGGTGACCTTTAACCCCGGGCTTTTCTCCAGATCCTTGCAATTTCTTATGTTCTCAGGGTTACAAATGAAAATATCTGGTCTCCCTTTCACCTCTTAACCTGTTGCAGCCAGAGTGCATGTGTCCAGTTTCTGGCCTCCTCTCGTGTTCTGTCCATCTTGGAACGCTGGGAATGAGCTTACGTTCAGCCTCTAGGTTTTAATTTCAAATTAACTGGGGAAGGGAGGGAGCTCCCTTGTAAATGAGCAAACCAAAATCCAGTGTATTTTATTCCAATTAAAAAAAATATATATCTATATATCTATCTATCTGTGTATAATTTAGTATATTAAGAATACGGTTGGCTAATGAAGCTTTGAGTATTCCTAGTTCAAATGATGGATGGTGTTGCTCCTTACTATATTGGATCAGACTTATGGCCTTCTGATTCTTCTTTTGGAATGTCTTGCTGATCACAAAGTCGTCCTGTGAGGAAGGTTTGGACTCTGCTGCCAGGAAATCTCCAGCATTGATGTATGAGTTACACCCAGTAATTCAACCAACCCTACGTCTGGAGGTGCTGTACTTCTGGCCGTGGAAGATTAAAGCCAGATTCATTAGCAAGTTTGTTTGAACTGTGATATGAGCTCTCCCTGGCAATGTTCTCATGTACTCAGGTTTTCTTCAAGTTCCGCTGCCAGCTTGTTGCAGTTAAGTTTTGTCCAGAGCAGAACAAGAGAACAAGTTGCGTAGGCAATTCTGAAATAGGAAGTTTGGATTGTTTGGGTTGTGATGACTTTTCTTTTCCCCTACTTTTTATGTGGTCCCGGATTTTCTGGAGCCTCTGTGTTCTCAGACGTGGTTGCATAGAAACTGCACAGATTTGACTTATCTTTTTTCTAATAATATGAACTTACAAATCCACCTGGAAAATGGGAAGCTTTCTTCTTTGCTCCTAGCAACTGGCACTCACTGGACTTCATCCTTTTGTTAAAGGACTGCAATGAATTCACCGATTTTATTAGCAGAAGCACCACTTAACCTAACTAATACTGTCTTGTACTGTGGATTTGTGGTTCCAGTTATAAGAAGTAAGAGACCATTGTGGATTAAACTGACTAAAATTCTTCCTTCTTGTCTTACTTACATAGACGAGAATTCTTCTACCACATCAGAGTTGTCTCCTCTTGGAGTGGCTGGAGTTTGATGCAATGTCCTGGAACTGTGGTATTTTTTTCCCCAGCTTATTAAATGTGCTTTTGTGTAGATGAGTGCCCAACATGTTGTTTTAGGACTGTATTATTAAATTAACTGCTATAAAAGACTTTATCTGCTGAACAAGCGTACTGACTTCTTCCTTGTAACAAGCAGCTCTCACTTTGTCTCTGCAAGAACGTGCAAAGTGATTGCCCCTCAGCTACATCCAGCCTACACACTGGAGTAGGCTTAGAAGATGTTCCAGGACACCTTTGGTACCAGCTGAGTTTACTGGGGACTATCTCATGTTTTGTAAGCCAAGTTTGCCATAAACTGACAGTTGCCCAAAGGAGGGCACGAGTAGGTAGAAATCCTCTCTTAAAAGACGTTCTGCACATCAAGCATAATACTGTGCTTCAAAGTATTTTTATTTTTTTAATGGGTGAGCAATGTGTTCTTGGTTTGTAGGCTGTGCCCTGTGTGCTGTTGATGCATGTAGCTTCACTACCATGTTAATGCACAAAGAGAAAGCAGCCATGACATTCCTTGTATAAAATATTTGGCATCTGTTTCAACAACTTGTCTCGTTTTGTTTTGTTTTATTTTTTTTCCCTTGTCACAGCCAGAATTACTACTCAAACAGAAAATATCTAAATATTTTTAGTATATATGCGATTTTAGTAACTTAGCAACCTGTCAATATGCAGAGTCCATTCTGCATTGATTATCCTTGAGCTGAATCTTTTTATGCTGTTGCTCAATAAAGCAAAATCTGACGTGGTGCTTAAACTGCAACAGGCTTGGTATTACTCTCTCTGGACAATGCTGAGAGGATTATTTGGGTTCTTGTTTTCCAAAATGAAAAAAACATCCGTAAGGTGAAGTTCACTGCTATTTTTGTACACGAGAGCTTTTATGTTTCTGATAGTATTGGGTTCTGTGAGTACACAGAGTATAGAACATGGCTATTAAATGGATTAGCTATTTAAAGGGAATGGATGCATAGTTTAGCAGAGCCTAATGCTGTTTGGGGTTAATACATTAAGATTCAGTAAACAAAAGGGCTCTGAACAACATCCATGGACAGAAAGCTCTCCATGAAACTTAAATGAAGGAAATATCGTGACCAAAAAAAATCACTGAAGCAATTAGCATCTTGTGCTTGGGGTAGGACTGTCAGCCTGACCACAAAGGTTAATCCTAGCAGTAGAAACCTGTGAGAGTCTTAACCCTAAACTCCGAGGAGAGGTGCTTTGTGTGCAGAGGTATTGGTAGCACCTAACCAGAGTGAGCCCGTGCAGAACCTGTCAGCAGGTGACAGTGACCTTGCTGGAGCTCTGAAAAAGCCCAAACTGGGAGTGTTTGACAGTGGCAGTACGAGACAGCTCTGACATTCCAATGCAACTTCTGTGTGAAAAAAGTCTTGTTTACAGGGGCAGGGAGAGGAGAGGACTGTCTTCCAGGAAATTTCCAGAAGATCACTAGGTATGTTTTACCCAAGGCAAATTAATTACTTACCATGAAATTGCAGTTGGTCAAGATGACAGTGTGTCCTCTGGATCAGCTGAAGTTCACTGTAATGTTAATATTCAGTCCTTGAAGTCAGCACACTGTGTTGGCAAGATGATGAATTCAGTTGGTCTGAGATATAGCGTGATAAAAGCGTGCTCTGAGTTAGAGAATGAAGTTGACTGATGTAAATCTCTTGCCAAAAAAAATGTCAGATTGATTATTGGCAGATCAAGCAGCCTCTGAACCTCTTCCAATTAGGAGCTCTCATGAAAAACATCAAGTAAAATAAGAATCATGTGAAATGACTGATGTGCAAAGATGTGCCCCAGTGAAAAACTAATTCCTCACCCAAAGCACCACAAAATGAGCCTAGATTTGTGGAGGAAAAATCATGATATGATGGCTTTATTCTGAGGAATTTATTTCCATTGTGGGTACTGGGGCCAAGTCAGCATACAGATTCATCATCAAATAGGTGCTGTGGGGTTTTGTCCCCTTGTGTGCAGCAGATATATGGGCTTCATATAGATGTGTGTGCTCTTCCTGCTCAAGCCTTTAGGCCAAATTGGGCTGAGTGTATACCAGGTGCACGTTGCACCTGAGGCTTGAGCTAGAGAAAAGGACGATGGGGCAGCGTGGCTGTAACCTGTAGCTATTGTCAGGGCAGCAGCAGGCTGTAATGTTTAGCTGCTAGCACAAGAAAAGCTGCTTTGTCTTTCACTTCCCTGCCCTCCCCTCTGGTTTTCCTGCTTGTTCATCCTGTGCCCAGTTCCTCACAGGTGAAGCTGGGCAGGGTGTCCCCTGTGTTCCTGTCTGTGTTACCTGTGAATTGGACCTTTGGCTGTGTTCTGGAAAACATGACAGCCCTTGATAGCTTTTGATGTCAACCAGAGTTTATTTGTTGAAATAAACACCATCCTGATGTTGGATCTGCTTTGCATTTAAGCTAAGGCTCTGTCTGTGCTGAGACATTCACAAATGCCCCTGTTGTTTTGGGTAGCCTGGGCTTCAACGTTGCAGGACTCTGGCTTTCCACCTGGTCATGTGGACTCTGCTCTTCTTCATCTTTTTGCTTCCAGCATAACCAGCCTGATTAAGTACTACTATCACACTCCATTTTACAGCCTCTCGTTTTCATGTTTCATTGTCAACTGCTGTCAGTCACTCTAACTCCACATACTGTGGCGTCGTCCTTCCATTTGATCTATTGTTGATGGCTCTAATACAATTTGGCACCAACAGATGTGTCTGTGCCTGCCAGGAACGGGAGAACAGAGTGTGATTTGGACAAGCAATAGAACTGTCTGGTTTTTGTCTGCCTCCCCTCCTCGCCCCCTGCTTTAGCTGAGCACTTTCTTGGTAAAGCAACGTTGACATGTCTGTTCTGTCAGTCACAGGACATAGATGTCATAAAATGTTTTCATTAATAGAGCAGGCACATCAACAATGAAATCATGGCAATGCCAAAATAAATGAAAACGTACTCGGAGGGCTTTCAAAACCAACAGTATACCCTGACAAAGACAAAACTAAACTAGAATGGCAGCTAGTCACTTATCTGAAGCCAAAATTAAAGTGCATGTCAGCTTTTTGGCTTCATTTCTATCAGCTATAAAGCAAGTAAAAAATAAAGAAAAGCAGCTACAAGTGTGTGTGTAAAAGTCCTCACGCAGGAGATGTCCCCATTGCAGCACTACTGTAAAAAGGGGTTCAGGGCAGGACCCACACGGAATGCCTGAAGATTTTGAAATGCTGGTTTCTGACATTTTGAGAAGCCAGCTCAAACTTTCTGGTTCAGCTTAAAAGGCAGTTTTACAGCAGCACTGGAGACAAGCAGCAGCATATGCATGACAACGTACAGATGATGGCTTGTCAGGAAGGCATCAGAGTGCTTCACAGCTACCATGGTATTAATAGAACTGCAGACAGGGAAGGAGCTAACCAAGGGAAGGCAGGTGATCTTGATTATATTTTCAGACATGACCTAAAATGGTTGATCAGCTTGGTGCCTTAGCCTCCACTTTGAAATGTGAAATTTATTGTAAAGTGCTTTGAACACTTGGGTCAAGCACCTTTCAGGCCCTCTCTCAGAACCCCTGCCTAGAAAGTGCTGTGGTCAGTACTGACTGTGTGATCCAGCTACAGTAGATGTAGTAGTGTATGTAAGCAGCCACCAGCAACTGAAGGTTTGGGGACCAAAGCTGAATTGTCCACGGCCAGATGATAACTTCTGTGAAAGCAGCTACTGAAAGGGGACTGCTCAAGATCCTACACATTTGGGTTTGAATTTGCACTTCCTTGCAATGAACACTTAATTTTCTAATACTGTTAGAATAAGTTCCTATTAAGCTCAAAAATGTAAAAATGCCAGAGTGAAATTGTGACTAGTAAACTGATTTTTTTTTTTAACCTCTTAGTTTCAGTATTCACCAGGATAATAAAGGAAATATGTCCATGAAGCCATGTACTGGAATAAATCAGGGCCACCAGAAAGACATAACCCCTGTCACCACCACAGAAGACCCAAAAGCAAATGCCCTCGTTTTAGATGCATCGAGTTAAAACTGTATAAGTTTAAGGTTCTACCTGCTGTGCCTAAGAACCTTATGTGACCTGAAAGTTTTTATGTGGAAAGAGCCTTTTTAATCAAGAGTGAGAGATGCCTAATAGAAGCATGGTACATGGAACATAGCAAGGGTGAGACTTGGTGGCTCTGAAGCAGCTGTGTTGGTGGGAGGTACTGGCACTTTGGTCAGTGAGGTGACCTGGTGGTCTCCTGACCCTTGCTGCAGTGAGCAGAAGGGACCAAACAAATGGTGCTTGCTGGAGGAGGGATGCTGCAACCTATCTTGGAGTGCATGTTTGGCCTTCCTGAAGTTCCCTGGTAGTTCAGTACTTGCTGAGAAGCTGTAGCAAAGAAATAAGGTATTTTGCTCCTGTGGCAGAGGGGAAGAGTGTTGCAGTACCTTTTAACTGTGGTAGGGCTCTAGCTATTGAGGCATAATTAAATAGTTGATTAAAAAAACTTCAGCTGCTTGCTGTTTGTCACTGAAGCCAGACTTTCACCTTCTTGTCCTGGTTCCCCTCTCCTATTCTCCTGCTCTTGCAGGCTTAATTAAAAGTGTTGGCTGCAAAAGCATTAGATGGGTGAATGGGTCTGGAGGGACACGTGTGTGCGTTTGGCTCCTGGAAACAGCAGAAAGTTTTATGAGTTTTGCCTAAAAGGGAACAACGAGACAAAACTATCTTCAGTTATGTAAGATGCCTTCCTGTCACAATTCCTAGTTTGTGTTTCCCACAGTAACTGGGCACAATTGTTGCAAGGTCTAGTTCTTAGAGAACAGGCAGTACTGGAGCTAGGAGCACTGAAAAGAGCTTAAATTCCAATTTAAATTTTGGAATTCTTATTTAAGGGAGTCCATGGTCCTTGTGATTGGCTACATGCACATGTTTGAACCACATATGTTTATTAACAAGAATATCAATGTAAAGTATGTTCCAACTCAACTCTGAGCTGATTATCAGGTGTCACATTAGGAGTTTGTGGTGGGATGGGGTTAGCTACATTCCTATTTCCTGAACAGAAGCTTAGGTGCAGTGTGCATCACAAACTAAGCCAAGACAAATGCTTTTGGAAGTTGTGCTCTGTGCACTAATCACTGTGCATGCAACAGAAAATGTCCCAAATTGACATAACTAATTGAGACAAACTGCAGAGTACTTTCTCAAATTGAAAAGCAAAGCAAGCCAGGAATTGTGCCTTGTGGTTATCCAAGGGTAGTAGAGGGAATGGGAAGAGCCTACAAAACCTACTCATCATCTGAGGACAGGGGACCTCTGGTCTTATAAACAAGGTCTAGAGAAAGAAGGGGCAGCATGGAGTATGCTGTGAGCAGCATCTGCTCTGCTTTGTGTGGGAACTCTAATGCCAGTCACTGGGGGAGCTGTAGCTGTAAGGAATTCACAGCTCCATCTGCCTCTGGGGACACAGGAGTTGGCTGTTAATGGGGTACACAAAAGATCTGGGGGCTTTGAATGCGTACACAGGGAAGAAAGCACTTTGAAGAGTTGCTGGGAGATTTATCTTTCATATTGATTACCCTTGCAACAGCTATTTTATATGGGATGTATGCACACTTTAAAGTTATTACATTGCTCCCAAGAGGAGAGTTTTCCTGCTCTATTGTCTTCTATATAGATTAATGGGTAAAAGAAGTACAAAAGAAAGGAAAGATCACCACACACAACACTGGAGTGCAGTGAGCAGTAAGAGCTGCTAAGAGGTTTCACAGAACACCACATTGCTTAGGCCTGAAGGTTGTGAGAGGACGGGAGAAATGAGTGTGGAGCCCTAAAGGACAGCAAGGATTTTTAGTAGGGCCCACCCTTCCTGGCACATGTATTTGAATAAGGTCACTTGAAAAATGGAAGGAAAAGGGGAGAGGAGTGCCCTGGAAACAAAAACTCCCAGGAAAGGCTCAGGTTTGCAGTTCTGGGCTTGTGAAGGGAACCTCCCTGTACTGGGCAGGGCACTTGTGATGCTTCCTTTTGGAGGAAGCCAAGCCAGAAACACTCAGGAGGTGATTGGGCTCAATGAGCTCAGGCCACTAGCAGGGATGCAAAGAGATGAACTGGCTGCAACACCAAGTCCTCAGTGAGCTCTGAGGGAGCTCACAGCACAACCTGGGGCCCCTCACCCCTGCTCACGACACTGTGCACATGCTGCAGCTTGTGCTGTCCTCTGGGAAAAACATTTTGTGACTGATGGAACTGTTTTGCCAACCCACTTGTTGAACTGCAAATACTCCTGCTCAGTAACAGGCTAAGAGCTGTCCCAGTACACACACCTCCTTTGGGCCACAGCAGTAATGCACCAGCTCTTCAATGTTACCCCCTGCCTATACAGGGAGAGCAGATCTGCTGGAGAATGTGCTTCTGCCCCTCACTGCCTTCCCTGCCCCTTTGAGCAGGGCAGGTGGGTTCCAGAGGCAGCACTGCAGGCACAGGACAACACACAGCCAAGCCAGGAAGCACCTTGGAAAACAAGGTAATTATGGCTGCTCAGCAGATAGGATGAAGTGAATGGGGGAAGCAGCCAAGAGACACATATTTGGCCTCTTTCTTTTTTTCTTGGAATGCCACTTAGTGAAGTAGAAAAGCTTTGATGGGGTCTTGCAAGCCCCTTCCTTCCCAGGGTGCTCAGCACTGTTGCACCCCTCTGTGACAAAGATCCCAGGAGTGAGTGCTGTGCTGGGGACTCCCAGCTACGGGCCACGCCTGGGGTCACCAGCACCAGTGTGCTGTGCAGCCTAGCCCTGATTTCAGGAGCCTGTGGGAAGCAGTATGCCTGGTGACACAGCAGAATGCTCCACGTGAATCCCAGGATGGAAAGGTTCCTACATTCCTTTCCTAAGAATTCTGGGAAACTTGAGTGCAGCTTGTCTTTCCTGTGAAGCCTGCCAGTAGCCCCACCTAGTTCACAAGGGCCTTTACCCCCTGTAGGCTTTTGATCTTGTCAGTGTTCTCCATGCCTACTAGCTGCAGGACAGTCTTGCCCAACCCCAGCTGGTTACCAGGAAGGAGCTGGAGGCCATGAGACTCCATGGGATGATAAATTGTTCTCAAACACAGATCCAGTGTCATCCAATTACTGTGAGCTGGTGCTACAACTTTGCAGCTGAGGGCCTGGTTGTACCTCTGTGTGCAAAGCCCTGACTCTGCACAGGTGCTGGTCTCTCACATCCCAGAGATCATGGTCTGTCCAGACTGGGCTTGTCTCCTGCTACAGCTGCATGAGCCAGCCTGCCATTCCAGACTGCTGGCCAAACTCATGGGGGTGGACGTGCTTAGGAAACACTATGATAAAGTAACAGGGATGTTCAGCCTGGCTACTAGACCAGGAAAGGGGCTTTGTTCTCCACGTGCTGCCTTTCAAAGGGAGTGGTGGCAGAGCAGTGGCAAGCTGCCATCATCTGCAAAGGACAAAGTTCAGCATGGCCCAGCTCAAAGGACTGACAGTCAGTGTGAGCAGGGAAGGGTGGTCCTTGGTCTGCTTCCAGCCACAGACGAGTAGTGACAGTTGACACAGGGACCCAGAGCAAAGCTACTCCAAAAAAATCTCCAGAACACCTTCAGCACCAGCTACTTTACTTTGCTAATCCTCACTGTTGTACCAGCCCACTTGCTCATGTAACCACAGCTAAGTGGCTGTATGACCAAACTAGAACAGCCATTTGACAGCAAATTCAGCTGCCATGAGACAGTCCTTTACTGAAAGTCATCAGCTTTCCAAAGTTTGTAGCTAGATTTCAAAGAGGGTGAACGTTGCCTAAGAAATGAATCAGCACTCAGCTTTTATTTACAAGATGTCTGAGATGTATACAGCAAGATTTGCTGAAGGAGGTTCAAAATTTCACAGGTGAAGCAGATGAAACAGCAGCACGCAGTCACTCAACAGCATGGTGACTGGTGCAAAAATTCTGAAGTCATGTTTTGGCTAGCAGCTTTGAAGACCAAGTCTGAGGAGAATGTTGTGTCAGTTATAGGAGAAGTGGTAGAGATCCTGTTTGACAGCCATGAGTAAGCCAGGAACTCCTCGGCTACCCCCAAGTCTTGAAGAAAACACCACACTGGGAATGGCATCTTTGGAGGCAGGGTAGGGAGAAGGGATGGTTCTAAGCAGGTGGGCATCCTGGAGACTCCAAATTCTGGTGTAGCAATCCTGACCAACTGGAAAGGCAAGGACACCAGAATGCAACATTACACAACAAAGCACTTCACATGGCTCTAAAAGATTATCAGCACAGAAGCAGAAGATCTATTGGGAAAAAGCCCTGACAGTTTCTACACATGCTAGAGACAAAGTGCTTATCCATACCTTACAAAACAGACACTAAATACTGCAAAAGTGAGAAAAATTTTCCTATTGGGCAATAAAAGGTGTGATAAATGAGTACTTAAAGTACTTTCCTCATTTTCAAGCTCCTAAACCAAAAAAAAAGGAAAGAAAAACCTCACTGTCAAATTATTCTGTCACTTATTGACAAATCCAAGGGGGGGAAGATTACTACACTTAGTGACGTTGTGAAACTTGGCTGTACTGTGAGGATCTAGGGGTGCTGCTTCACTTATTGTTACCTTTCCTCACCCCATCCTAAATAAAATAAATTAAAACCCCCGTAATCTCAGGCTGTAGCCAAGTATACCCAAACTGAACCTGAGTGGTACACACAGTTCACAAGTTGTGCTTACATGCCAGTGCTTCAGCCCATCACCACTGCCCACTTAAGCTTAAATTAACTTAAGCTGCCCACTTAAGCACCCAATTAACATACACACAGTCTTCAGTCTCTATATGAAGTTACCAAGTCTCCTGTTTACATGTTTCCCTGGATTTCAAGATCAAGTGTCTTCTGCTCTACTGTGGAAAGGATAATGGGACTTTTGCAAGACACGGCAAAAAAAGCCTTCAAGAGCTACATGCAACAGATTGCAGTAGGTGTGCATACATATCATTATTTCTTAATTTTCATAGGATATTACAGTATGTCTAAGGCTGCATATCTTCTGAAGTTTACAGAATTAACAGTTTTACAGCTTCCAAGAGCTATAGCCAAGAAACAACCCTCGGGCATAAGAAAATCGCTGCCAGGCAAGTGGAGGGGAAAAGCTCAACTCACCTGCTGTAAGAAGTCCTTCCTCCTCATTCACATGCACAGGGAGAATGGCATACTCATTGTGGTGACCTTTATACTGTTTCACACACTTCACTGTTCTCAGGTCCCACAGTTTTATCTGCAAGGTGAAATAATTGTTTGAAAGAGGATATATTAAGTGGACAGCATGAGACTGTTGAGGAGTAAGCGGATCTGGAAGAGGACCCACATATGGAACTACCACCCCATTCTACACCGTGCCCCAAAGAGCAGGAATTGCCCGCGGGACAGGGACAAGCACCCACCAGCGCCCAGAAGGAAGAGGACGCCCCGGACACAGGAAGCCCGTACCTGTCCAGCCATATCTGCTGCCAGCAGGTGGTGCTCCCCCTGCAGGAGGCGGAGGGCCGTCACCGCCGAGTCGTGGAAGAGCCGCGTCGCCTTCCAGCCCTGGCCCCGCCGGCTGCGCTGCCGCACGTCGATGCTGGACCCCTCCCGATCCCCTCCCCCGAGCGGCAGCCGCTGAACAGCACCGGGCTCTGCAGGGACCCCGAGGAACAAGGGCTCTACCTCACCCCTGCGGGGTCCCACACCTCACACGCACGACCCACCTCGAGCCTTGGAGCTCTCTGGTGCGGCAGTCAAGTTATTTTCTTAAAACAGGCAGCAAGAACAACAGTTTATTACAACTGCAACATTTTTCAGGCGACTCGTTCAGCCCTCAAAGATCTACCTCAGCTGTCAGAGTTCAGGTAGGTGAGTGGGAACTTAGTTCAATGGGACAGCAAAACGGGAACCGGAATTCTCATATTCCAATCTTACCCTTCTCACTAAACCTTTGTGAACAAGTCTTACTATTTTGCAGAGGATTTCCCCTTCTTGATGGAGACAATACACTGAGCATTAACCAAACAAGGTCATTTGCCAAAACCAAACCAATTTTACAACACGCTATTACTGTGCTCTTTGTACTGCCTTAATTTCCTTTTTACCTCTGCATAATTAACAAAAATTACCCCTGTTGCCACAGAGTCTGACATCAGTTCATCATTTTTGTTGCTACTGAATAGTGTGCAAGCATCAGGACACATTGGCTCTGTTGTGGAGCAGCCATCCAACTGTAGCTGTAATCACAGCCACAGGTAGAGCATGAGGAGTCCCACCACAAGCAGAACAAGAAGCCCACCCCTGAGGCAGTGCTCTGGAAAAACAAATGCTCTAGGGCTCTTCTGACCTGTGTGGCAAACTGTTGTGCCAGTACATCGCTACTGGTCCCAAATGTCTGTCGATGTCCTGTCACCACATTGGTCACAAGAACTCGTCGTGTCAGGCCTAAGGAGGACAGATTATGTTTGTTTAGCTGTAACTTGGGTAGCAGCCAGGGGATTAAGGCAAGAAGTGCTGCCCACTGAGACAGAAGGGGTTGCTACCCTTGCAGAGCACCTGTGCTGAAGCAGTTGTCTGCCTGGGGATTCAGGCACCAAGCACAGGACCAGGCAGTGGATATCTTGAAGCTGCACAGCATTCCAGGCCGATCTCCTAGGAGAGAGGAGCAACACATGAAGCATCCATAAGGTGTTAGGACAGGATAACTCAGAAAGGTTCTCTGGATTTCCATGCTTTTAACATTTCAGTCTGAAGCAGAGAAAACATTACTCAATGTCCCTATGCTACTCAAGAGACAGGAGACAAAAGCAGGACTTCATGACTGTGAGACGAAGACTGAAGACTTAAAGTCTACATAGAGAAATGACTGTGAGAGACTGTGAAATTTATTCAGCAGTCAGCAAGCTCATCATGGCAGGAAAAAGACAAACCTTGCCCTACAGCACTCAGTAAGTCATTTCCCAAAGATAAGTGGGCTAGAAACACAGAACATTTACTTTATAAGCTACAGAATTGCCCAAGCCTAACCAAGTTCTTGGCCTGCCTATTTAAAACCAAACAAACAACAAAAGTTTGAGTAAATAACTATACCCTAGATTTGACCCTAACTCATGTAGCTCCTGCACAAAGTCTACTAATTGACGTAAATTTTAAGTCCTGAGTTTTCACTTCCTTATGGCACATCCACCATGATCATACATATGTCAGGCAGCACAGGCCACTTGTCTCAAACATCACTTTACAAAGGTTAAGTTCTACTTTGCTGTTAACATCTACTTAGCAAGATTCTCTCAAACCAAGAATTTATGAAAGTGAAGTTGGTCAAGAAACTTGGAAATACCTAAAACAGTCAATAGGTAATACTAGACAGGAGGACTTTGGTGGAACTCAGGGCATCTGATTATGATGAAGGGTCTAAAATATTCTAGAGCTATTGGGCATGCTGGCCTAGCAGCCATCCATCTTCAGTGACTCTACAAGCTCAGGCTAACTCTATGCAGCTTGGTGGTTTTTTTTTTTTTTTTTTAAATGGCTGCATAAACAGCATGACATTAAAAATTTAAAGTCCATAACTCTTAACTATCACAGATTTCCTCTGTATAGACTTAGCTGATCATGTCTGAAGGGAAACCAGCTTAGAGGACTGTACTGTGTGACTTGAGGAAGCACAATTCTGACACCAAGAAAGACCAACTGATGAAGTCCTGCCCCCAAGAACAGTGAATAAATACATAAAAATGCAGCTACAGCCATCAGACTTAAGACATAGGATTCTCCAAATCAATCATGCTTATATACAACTGAGGATGAGCTTCTACAAGGAGCTTTGGGCTCAGACATTTCCCAGCTTTCCACCTTTGATTAATCCACTGAGCATACCTGAGTAGCTACTACCAGAAGGGATTCTGCAATGACTCCAGATACTCTATAAGGAACTGTGAGTACCTCTGTGCAGCTTTTGAGTAGTAATTACAGGCCAAGCCACTCATGACAAATGTTTACTTTGCAAACAAAGTGTTCTCCTGCCAAAGTCAAGTACTGCACCATCAGCAGCCAAAAATAAACTAGTGCTTTGAATGCTGCCTGTTACTGAATTCCTAAGGTATGTTCTTCCACCTGTTCACTTCTTAAACTGTTTCAGACTTTCTAAATTTTACAAGAATAAAACAGTCTCACCAGTTACTGAAGAAAAGCGCAGAAATAACCTTCCTTTTGTGCTCTTTTCATACTCAATTGCTATGGAAAATTGGAGGGAAAAGAACAATAAAAACACCCTACCTGGGTTCGTGCTGCTGAACAATGATGCTGGCAGCAGGCTGGCACAGCCTGGTGTTTCTGCAATTCCCATGAGACACAGCTTGCCACGGGAGTTAAGGAAAACAAACATTTCTCCCTAGAATGGAACAGGCTGCCTGACATTTCTAGCTGGGAAAAGCAAGATGCTCTGACACAACCACAGCTCACAAGACTTTCCCTTTGAGTCCTTTGATGTGTCTTACAGTTTACAACTAAGTCTTGACTTTCCATTTCTTTCCTAGGAAAGAGCTAAAAATGATTCCAATTCTTGCTTGTGTATTTTCACTGCCAGAAACACAAGACAAGAGGAATGCTAAGACATCTTCCTAGTGATAGAAAAAAAGAGTCCAATGCACAGCTTACACGGATCGTTCTTCTCATCTTTACATGCTGATGACACTGCATCAGTACAGATGTGTCTTTCATGGAGAGAAGGTGGAAAAAGGGGAGCACACATTGATGAGGAAAAGAAGACTCACTCTAGATTACACTGAAATACTTTCTAAAGATTGTACCAGGTATAAATAGGACTTGAAAGCTGCATTTCAAGTTCAGTGGGGTAAATCTGTGATATGACTAGAGGAAAGGACAAAATAAAACCAAACTGCTGACCAGCTGTGAGCAAGCCTGATGAACTCCTGCCACCTTCTGGATCAGCCCCGAATTGTTTGGCTTTTCCCAGAAGCCATTATGTGCATTCATTCCCACATCACTTTCTCTCTTTTGGCACTTCAATAGCAAGCCTGTTACGTGCCATCTCCCAGGTTACAATCCCCTTTCCTTCCTCAATTCTGGGCTCTGTGCTGTCCAATACTGCTTCCTCTACCTTCCTCATCAACCTTCTTCTGCTTCTGAGACAGATATGCAGAACATGCTCTGAAAGCTGAAGAGCATGATGCCAACGAATTGCTCCCATTCTCCTCTCCCTCCAGCCAAGGTGTGGAGATGGTTACAATAGAAACCAACCCACTCACTTTCAAAGAGGCCCACTTCAAAGAGAAAGTTTGCTGTCTTAAGCCTCTCCTTAGTTTGTTTGCCTCAGCCGATTTCTAATCACTGGATTTTTTTCAACATGGCATCTACACTATTAATGAAGTGAGAAGTCTCCAGGGCAGGAAACATGGTCTTCCACCTACTATTACACTGGAAATATTCTGCACATATCAGGAACAGAACCATACATTTGTCTCACTAGCTCCAAGATTGACCAATTTTTAACACCTTCTCCGTGTACCAGAAAACAATTTCTGGGGCAACTACCCAAGAGGTCTTCCTGGAAGCTAGCTGTTCTGTGCAGCATGATGCAGGCTTGTCAAAACTGAGCTGAAATTTTGCTTTTTTAAAAAAGGATATAAAACATGAGAATCTGGATGAGTCAATGATGCCCAGCACACAGAATTCACCTTCAGACACAAGAAGACATAGGATTTTTGTGATCCCTTACTCAATTCATGAAAGGGTATTTCCATGCAAAGATGACATAAAACTATGCACTGGGTACACCTCCTTAGCCCACTAAATAGCCCACTAATAGGACATGAGCATTTTAGCCTCATTATACTCTTCAGTGTCAGAGACAGCAGTACTGAGAAGTCTGTCCAAACACGGACTGAGGCACCAAACACATCCTGTTATTTAAGAGATCATCCTTAGAAGAATCTGAGCATGAAGAGGCTAGGAAAGCCTGTTTTAAATATGCTCCATGTCCAAGGATAAACACATTTTCCCAAAATTGTTTTTAAGAAAGCATGCAAATCTTAGTAGTTTCTGGTCATCAGCTAGGGTCAAGTGCAACTCTGATGTAAGCACTGCCCCTGGCAGCTGGTCACTTTACGCAGTCTTCCATTCCCATCCTAGCATAACATTCCTGAGCCAACACTGATACCGAGGACTTTCAGAGACAAGCTTACTGTGATTCTGTGTTTATCCAAGCTTCACAGCACCAGATTCTTCCACTCTCTCCTCCCAGCCCCTCCCCAACCCTGATGCTTCTCCACCCGTGCCTGCCCAGCACACAAGGGAAGGAGGCAGGAGCAGCAGACGGCACCTTGCGGTTTGTGAAGTAGAGGTTGTCATACATCTCCACAGCCAGGGCCTCCTTCCCCAGACCGCTGAGGTTGATGATACCGTATTTGCATCCTCCGTGCTCGACGTCGTTCACAGTGAATATCCGTTCACAAGCAACATCTGCCTGTAAAACGAAAGCTTGCTGGTCACACCTCCTGGAGCCTTCACAGGAAAGGACAGCTCGAGGGAGCAGGGTCAGGTCCAGAATGAAACACCACATCCATTCTGATCCCTTCAACACCACCCATTTTCAACTCATTTCAAAAAACAGCGGCCAACTTTTTTTACACGCACACACAAAAAGTAAGACAAGGGTTTAGGCATTGAGTAACGATAAATACTCCTTCCAGTTATATCCATTCTAGACATTTACTCTAGCTGAGTAGTAAACACAGAATATTGGTAGAGGACTCAATCCAAAAATTTACACCTTCTCAAAAGTGAACACGGAATTCTCCTGCTACTGGATCACAACAAAGGCTGGTGATACATTTCAACTCTACGACACCAAGTTTCTAACTCCCTTCTAGCTTCAGCCACCCATACAGTGCTCTGTTTACAAGGCCAGGAGCTGGCCCTCAAGAGTCTTCTACCTAGACTATGACAGAGAGATTTGCTCGAGACCTTTCCTGCACCTGCAGCACAATCAAAACCAGTAGAAATGGCCTTCAGATCACAAGATGCAAAATGATGACTGATGTTTACACAGATTCTCTGGATCACAGACTTTGCTACTCTCCAAGTTCTCTTTCGTATTCTTCCTTCTCTCAATCCTCTCCATGCCCCCTCACAGCCCTGTGCTAACTCAAGTCCTGTTTATTTTCAAGAAAGTATATTGATCAGCTTAAAAGAAATTTAAAAAAAGAAAATCACTTTTATATCCAACCTTTTGATCATATTCCTTTCTCAGAAGGAAACAGCCTCTTCCTACCTGCTTAAAATTACCAAGCACGGATTTTCAGACTGGAATAACACATCTTTGAAGGCAAAATTTGATGTACAGGATTTGATTACAAGATCCTGAATTTTCATTGAAGATGGGATACCTTTATCCTAAAGATTTAGTAGTTCTCAGAACATACCACAATTATTTTAAAATTGTCTGTTCCACCGACTGAGGAATCTGGACTGTGAATTTCTATCTTCCTCCTCTGCATGCAGTTCACTTTTAGCTCATGGACCAGCCTGTAAAAGCAATGTGGGGGAGGGGGATGGGTGGGGAAGACAGAAGATTCAGGTAAGCCTGGACTTAATGCCTATGAAAAGAATGAAGTCATGTCAGTTGAAGAGCATTCATCCCAAGAAAAGCTGTACTGTATTCCTAAAGCACAACAACAACAAAGTTAATTTTAATTATCATTTATCTGAAATTGGATACCTCTTCTTCATTTGAATGCTCATCACTTTAGTAATCTGATTATAAAAGAAGATAACCTTTTTTAAAAAAATTTATGTAATATATTCTTCTTTGTCCTAAGAAAAAGAGTAAAAAAAAAAAAAGGCAAAAAACCTGCCAGGAGCAGTTGCAGTAAGAGCAGAAGCAAAGGCAAAAAACAGAAGACAAATCAAGCAGAAGACAAATCAAATCATTGTACCTGCAGTAGCTTGTGGAGCTGAGCAAACCCAGCTGCCTTTTCTGCAACAGCACAGAGGAGTTCAGCCCAGCCCTCGCTGGCTTCTGGAAGAGAACAACATGAAAGCAGACCTGCATATTTGCTTGTTTATGATTCAAACCCCTCTGTGAGTCTTGCATGTTTGGGATATGTAACTTTTTCCTCTAGCCTACATACATTACATTTTTCAGAACACCTATAAAACATGTTCCAGCACCATTTCTTTGGCCTACTACAATAGGTAGACAAGAATATATTCCTTGGAGATGTGGGGTGCTTCTCTAAGTACAAAAACTCAAATAAAAAATCCCAACAAACCAACAATCCAACAGCCATTGTTTTCTCTTGACATAGTCAGCAGTACCACCTTGAGGTGTGAAGTCACCTTTTGGTTTCACTGTAACACCTTAAATTCTTATTACACAGCAAAGTTTTCTCTCAGAAGAAGACTGCTATTAGCTATGCAGCCTTACTGCTGCACTAAGCTGCTTCTCCATTCATCATTTGCTAAAACGTCACACGAACTCTTCTGAGGAGACCAAAGGATAGAATACTTTGCAGAATTATGGAGTAAGAAATCTTTTTCATAATGCTCAAAGTATTTAAGAACCAAAATGTTCTTCTATGGGAGCCTGATTCAGATTTCTGATTCAATAGCCAGATTTTGAAAAGAGACTTATATCCACAGTTCACAGTAACATGGCCAGCAGCTTTTTGAAATCTACACTGCTCATGGAAACAGCTAAAACACCACCACCATCTCCACCTCAGAACTTTCACAGGGAAGACTGAAGAGCTGAACAGCTGGTTAAAGTCATTCTTTAAGGAGAAAAATACTGCTCACTTCCTCCAAATGACTGCATATGTAAGTGAGCTGTGATTTGTAGTTATAAGACATAGCTTTCAGGTAATTACAAAACATCCTTCTTGGGTATTTTACCCAGATTACAGATTAACAATGTATGATAAAAAGCATCCAGGCATAAACATTAAGACCCATCTTGATTTTAACTGTGAAAAAAAAATTCTTCATGAAACAGGTGTTCTGTATTGTTTCTTCAGTGTCTAAGAAAATGAACAAGAGATTTATTTAAGACGTGGAAAACTTAATTTTAAGACCTCACTTTGCCAATCCAAGGCAGGGATTTGAAACCTGGCATCCAGTGTCCTGACTCAAGTATAACTGGTGGACAATCTGCAATTCTGAGTGCAGGCCCTGTCTCTATACAGGTTTTTTGTTTGTAAAGACTTGCTTTCATTCCTCTGTGGAACAGCCAAACAAAAAGCTTCAAGGACTATAAATTCTCAGCTAAAAGAAATTTCCATTCCCTCAGACTGCTTAGGGAGCTGTACGCAGTCAGAATTGAAAGGTTTTAGCTTATTATCTGTCCTCGCCAGAGCACAATAAAGCCTAATTGCAATCTTTTTCAGAATGTACCTTCTTTTGTTTTTCTTCCTCTTCTAAGAGTTTCAGTCTTTTGCATTCCATTGCCTTGTACTGAATGCTCTCCTTGGTGAGTGGGTTGTAGTTGTTATGTCCAGGCAGTAAGCGAAAGTAGCGGTTCTTTTCTGAGTCATAGTAAAATCCTGGCAGCTCTTGGGGAAAAAAAACAGAAAAGTGGCAAAATCAGATGGATAACTGAGTTTATTGCTCTTTGACATCCCACATCTTGGGAATGTCAAATGTCTCATTCCCAGCAGGTCCCAAGCATGACATACAGACTAGGAATAGAGGACAGCCACTTAAAGCAAAGCACCACTATTTGGTTTCCAAATGCAGTGCTGTGACACAGGTACAGAAGGGATGTTGCCACTGACCAAGATGCAACTCAGTCAGATCAGAGCAGCAGAGAGGGAAGGTTTTGCTGCAGAACAAAAATTACCTTTCCTCATAGAGTTAGTCATGAGGGGACACCTGGTTCAAGGATTGGGTAGGGCAGTTCAAAACAAAACAAAGTAAAAAAAATAACAATGAGGTATCACCCAAACAAAGTAAAGTGATTCACTCCCCAGAGCAAGCTGCTTTTCCTTCAATGCATACGAGAGATTTTGATACCATGAAGAGTACATTTGGACAATAGAGAGAGGCTCCCAAGAGCCACAATAGAAACATCCAATTTTAGTGCCTCACTGCCCGGGTAAATTCAAGGAGACAGGTAAAATTCTTTTGACAGATTCCTAATGGTATTTTGCTTCAAAACAAATGGGTGAATTCAGAAGAGGTGAGTGTTGACACTTCATTTCCAGAGCTTCTATTTAAAGCTTCATCTACTACCAGAAATTGCACTGAAGTAACCTCTTCTGTTGCTGCTTACAATTCAGCTCCTTGTCATCACCTTCTAGGTTGCAGGTAAGCAACAAGTGACCAAGATTTATTCAGGTCATCAAAAATATAAAGTTAGTGAATGAATCAGTAAGGTTTACAAAAGCACACTGCATTCAGCATACAGAATCAAGTGACACAGCATTAACTGTTTTGCAGGATACATTTCCTGACGTGCTCACAAGCCCTTAAGCACTAAAGGGTGATACACAAAACGGTCTCTTTAAACTCTGCCTTTGTCTCTTGTTAAGGGGTTATAGTCAGTGGTGTTTCAGGACTCTCCTGTTGTGGAGAAATACAAGTTCCCACAGGCTTAGCTTTTGGTAGGGTTGCTTCATGAGTCAGGAAACCAGAATGCAAATGGGACATCCTCAACAGCTCTGCGACTGCATCACATCTGGTTTCACCAGTCGACTCCCTGATAATGAACATTTAGCCAGAGTGTATTTCTTACAGACCACACAACACACCAAGGGCACAAAGAGCAAGTATTTCCCTCTGCTCCCAGAGTGGTGGAGCGTTATATCTTTTAAAGGAGTAGCTCTTTTAAAAGACTGGATGCAAGCTGTAATTTTTTTTTACATGCTCTCTTATTTGCTTACTTAATGTTTCTATTCAAAGATCTATTTTGTAACATCTTCAGCACCTATGAGAAAAGAATCAAAGTCAATTTTCTTCCCAAAGCAATGTTTCTGAAGGGAGACAGAGAATTCTGTTGGTTTTTTTTTCCTGTTTGTATCAGCCTGGCTAAGCACACAAGTTTCAATCACAAGAAATGCGGTTGGCCCTGCTCTCTAGATTCTCATGTGCCACATCTTTTGTTGTATCACCTGATGTTACTTTTCTCTACAGATTTTAATGTTTACACCCTTCCTCTCACGTCATATTACTAATGCAGCTAATACTATTTTCATACAGTCAGCTTATGAACACTGATTTCTGCCCCATAAATGTGGTCTCTCACCTGGTACTGCAGAGTTCTGTGTTGAACTAGATGAAGAAGGATCTCCACTGCTGCTGGGGCCTGCATTTACTGGGGTCTGTGGTTCCTCCTGTTCCAGCCTTAAAAAAAAACAAAACAAAACAAAACACTGCTTCAAGAGAGGCTCAAAATTGTCCTACACATCTTTCCCACAAAGACTCTAGAAAGCATCTTCTTACTGACATTAATGGAGCCACTTCTGCAGGGCTGCAATAAACACACTGTGCATGTCACCGTACACTAAACTATGACAATAAAACAGTAAAAATATTATGTTTAAAAACTTCAAGAATACTAGAGATACCAACATCCTGAAAGCCTTAAGTACTTGCTAAAACATTAGAGGTGGCTGCTGATTCTGCACGTGCCTTTAACTCTTTTCAGTGCAAGATTAATTCTGTGCTTTTTACCATATCCCTTGATTAAAAGAAGAGCCCACCCTGGAAAGCACCTAAGTCTTCACAGCATAAAGTGAGAGACAGCATGGGTAAAACATTGATGCCAAATCAAAATAATTTTGCCATTCTCTTATTGACAAGAATTTCATTGAAGAGATTCAGAAACATCCAAAATAAACACAAGTTAGAACTCCAGGGAAAGTCTCTGCTTTTGTAACAAACATTGCAGTCGACAGGGTAACTGCAACATGGTTTTTACTTTGTTTTGAAGTAATTTAAATGGACACATTCAGCACTGATGAGTAAAATTCCACGGGGATGTTTTCTAAATCACCTGTACCACTCTCACTTTTTAACTCTTGTTATGTGTACTCCTAAAAGCTCTAGACCAAGACGCTTTGCAAGAGTCATAATTTATTGGAAGCAAAATTACAAAGAAATTCTAATCCTCATACCAGCTCTGTTACTGTTTGATTATACAACGTGGAAAATAAAGAACAGAACCAATCTGCAGGAAGAAAAACACCCCATACCAAACCAAAGCACTTCAGTTTTAAGCTTTTTAATAAGATCCTTTTAATTGTATATTTACTGAATTGGGGCCTATTTGCATTTCTAACTTTTCTTACACAAATGCAACTCATGAGGCAACTCGCATAGGTGTATGTGTCCCTTTCTCTAAAAATACATTTAAAAAAAATGCTAAGAGCAATAAAGCAAAGGATTGGCCCCTTATTCTTGCAAAGGGTACTAAGGAAAGAACATGGGGAAGAAAAAGAGCCATAGAAGTAATTCAAACACAGGTAAGTATAAGTTCTGAAATTTAAAATGCACTTTCTAAAAGAATAAGTTTTCAAGGCAGTGGGTTATTCCTGAGACCCTGTTTCATTTTCCTGATCTGCTAGATGTGGTATTGCTACCACACTACTTGCTTTCAAACTTTCAGGAAGATCCTTTAATGACAGCTTTCACACTAGTAAGAGACTGAGCCATAAAATACGTGGTCAGGTGGAACGAAGCACTTCAACATTTTTCTAAAGTACTGAAACATTTTTCTTTCCTGAACAATCTCTGCATATTGATGAAGGATTTCTGGGCTATCTCAGCTTAAAATCAATACACAGTTATGAACATATGAAAAATTCCCAGACATCAATGCAATTCCATTCCCACTAGGGATGGCAGATCTACCAGAAGTACCATCCACTAGATTTTTTAGATGCAACCCTCCCAGTTCTAGATTGCCACCATTCTGAAGATTTAATTAGGCATAACATCTAACAGTTTAACCTGTGCTAAGCACAAGCTGCATACACTTGCCTTTCAGTGTGATTATTGTGATGAGGTCTTCTGCACCGATGGGGACGGTGGCTGTGCCTGCGATTGCTCCATCCATGCTTTTCTTTGCTTCTCCAGTAATTTCTCTTCATTGCTCCCTATAAAAAGCAAACATATGCACATACTTCAACGCTACTTGTCTGGAACGGTCCAACATACAGTCTTTTAACAGAACTGAAAAGATTCAACCAGTTCCAAAGTGTTTCACAGGGGCTTAGCAATCAAAACCAAGGACTCAGTGAAGAAAAACAGTGACTTTTATAAAGAAGCGCTTCCAAGGCCAAGAGGCACCATACCTCAATGCAGCGCAGCCCCACGGGCGCCTGGCCGCATTCGGCGCGGTTCGGTGCCGCCCGCGTGCTCTACCGGCCCTAACGAACCCC